CCGGCCCGACCTTATAAGCGATATAAGCGGTTGCATAGGGCCCCGTGCCCTCCAGTGGGCCCCATGTCAGGGTTCAGGTTCAGACGGTAATGCTCGATAATAATTTTATAAAGTTTCAGTCACGTGTGTTAATGTTTGAAAATGAAGAGGCGGCACTATAAAAGAAGTGGGAAAAGAGAAAAGAAAGTGATCAAGATAAGAGTAAGTGATGGATTTTGAAAATATATTGTTGAAATGGCTTTTGCTGCATCGTGCTGCGAGCGCTTTGAAGACGCGCTGTGCCAGTGTAACAACAGTAATGAACATGAATGGTATTGGGCTCTTCAAAATACGCGAATAATTCTTATCAAAATTATTATCAGAATGGTTTAGATTTTTAGAACGCATATATTATCTTACTTTCCATCGACCAGTTAAGTTTTACAACACTGCGTTGCGCTTTTGCTGTGTAAAAGTTCGGTCAGATTTTCTCATTGATGTGAACAAAGCAGCAGACGTGCTGAATAAAAATGCAAGTTCACTCTCTGACAGCAGGTGGCGCTTTAGGAACAGCAGAAATACACCGTTACCATGGTTACCCCTCTACACAAAGCAGCGCTGCGCAAGAGCAACTTCTGACACCTGCTTGTTTGTCACGGAGGTCAAAGGAAGTCAAACAGTATTTATATGTTTTCAAACAGCCATTCGGATTTTTTAATCACTTTGGTGTTTATCAAATAACACAAATATTTAAATATACCATATCTTTATTCAAACATTTGTTTACACTTATACATTTTTGCATTTTAATCAGGAATAAAACATGCCAGATGCCAGCCCAAAATAGATTATTCTGTATTATTTGTACATTTGTCTGCGGTTTCCTGCATTATCAGTTGCTAATGTCATGTTGCTCAAAATGTACTATATAGTTCCCTGTGCAACAGTCTTACCCCCAAAACATCTAGTCATTAAATGCAAAATGGTTGATCTAGTTGTCATAAACTTTCAACTATTAGACTTTTTGTAAATTTGCCATGAATTGTGCAGGTGAATCTTGACTTTCAATAATGAAGAGAATGTAGATCAGCTAATGATAAACCAGTTCTCTGAAACAGCTCAAAGGTGCATCTCATGAACCTTCAATTGGAAAGCATTAGAGGACAACACAAGAGTTTCAAATTCTGACAATGGATATTTCCTCCCCGTTGGCCTGGCAAATCAACAGTAGCTCTGTGGCCAATGACATTTCAACCACGCCTTCCGCTTTTGGTCAGGTTGAAGCCAGCCTCATCAGTCATCACATGAAGTTGTGAGATGGTTGACGACGTGTGTTTCCTGTGTTTGCCTTTCTAATTTTGTATTTTCGCCTTTGTGCCCATATTTCTTTTCTATATCACAATAACGTTGAAAAGGTTTTTTTTTTGTTTTTTGTTTTTGTCATACCACTAGTAAAGTGTAACTGTGAATCCTATCCAGTGTCTTTCAATCAATATCCCACATACAGTAATGTGTAAATTTGTACATTTGTTTACACTTATACATTTTTGCATTTTAAAGCCCAAAATAGATTATTCTGTATTATTATTGATAATAATAATAATAAATGATTCTCTTTAATTTTCATAATCCAGGTGTTCTTGCTTTATTAAAGCATTAATCTCACAACATTTTCATACATTTTTCTGAAAGCAATGGTTAAGCTTTTACATTTTTAAAAGTTTTAAATAATTGTTAAAAGTGCTTAATAAGTAAATATATCTTCATATTTATGTATTGAAAGATAAACACTGAGTAGATGATTAAGACAGTTTGGTAATTTTTTTACAACAGGGTTATTATAGTTAACTCAAATAAAAATATATATATTTTTTAAATTGAACTAGCTTTTCTGCATCAGAAACAGGTAACATGTTTCGTAACTTGGCAATGTTTCTAAGATGGAAGAATGCTGTTTTTGTAAAACTGAAATAACATGTAATAACTATACAGAAAAGCAACAAAACTAATAACAACAAAAACAAACAATAAAATTACTAAAACTTTAAAATGAAAATGACAGCAGAAAATATAAAAATAATTCAATATATTAACAAAAACTATAATAGCACATGAATGATACTAAAATAACATTGCTTTACAATAAAGTGTAAGTGTAAGATGTATACGATGGGGGATGGGGGGTTGGTTATGAGGGGGGCCCTTCTTTTGAAAATCTACTTAGAGCCCCCAAAATGCTAGGGCCGGCCCTGCACACACACACACACACACACAATAAACCTAAAGTGTCTTGGTTAATTTTGCTTCAGTGTTTGTCCTGTTTGATGTTTATAGGAGTTTGAAGGTATTGGATTTCCACAAGTGTGGTTGTTTGTAAAATGGGAAAAGAATGTGATTTGTGTGTATTTAAGGCACAAGGTTAAAAGTGTAATTATTTTCTGTGTAATTCATTATTTGTGCATTAAGGAGTATGGTTTTTTTTTGGTTGCCAGGTCTGTTTTTGTCTGCCTGTCTCTGCAAGTCTGTGTTCACTAGTCCAGACATGGTCAGAACTTTTTTTAGTGAAGAGTTTTTACACAGCGGTCAGGTCAGAT